CCTCAGATCTCCAAATAATTCAGTTCATAATCGGACGACAAAAAAATTGTTCTGATCATCGTTATCGAAGTGAATAATCATTCGACTTTCCTGATCAGCAAAAAGTCATATTGAAAAGTGTCTAATGCCGGAGTCGCTCAAACGTCGGTCGCTCAAGTGTCGGGAGCTCAAGTGTCGTACGCTCAAATGTCGGGGTCGCTCAAATGTCGGGCGCTCAAATGTCGGGTGCTCAAATGTCGGCGCTCAAATGTCGGCGCTCAAATGTCGGGCGCTCAAACGTCGGTTGACGCAGAGTCTCATCGGATTGAGAACAGAAAAATTTTACGAAATTAATTTAGGTGAAGCCGAAAAACGTGTTACGGCCATTTAGGCCACAGTATATTTGACGATTTGTTAGATCTTCCTTTTCCATTATCAATTGTTCCTGACTACATGCACATTTGTTTACTACGACACACCAAATCACTTCTTCCACACCTTTATCAAAAATTGTCCACGAATACACGTCGCGCAGATAATTCATTAAAAAATCAACAGTTTCCTCATTTTTTTAATCGAAAAATATGCTATTGGAGACTTAGCTTATGTAAAAGCGACCGAACTAAGAAACATTTTATTTTTCGGCATTCTTCCACTAATACAATTATTGTTGCTTCCAAACGTTGTCCCACGATTAGCAATGTATGTGTCGTTTTGTCAGACTGCTTCACTCCGAATCAGTCTATAGAAATCAGACTGTATGCTTTTTCCTGTAATAATTCAACATCATGGTAAGAACAAACGACTACTATTTGAAAGACGACAACAAATGCGTCGTCTCTCGTTAACTATAAAGCATGATGTGATGGATGCAAATCATCAACTTTTCACCAATCAAATATTTTCTAAAACAAACAATTGTAATTATTTGAATACTACGACAACGTCATTTTCATCGTTCGAAACATATTTTTCGAATTCATCTGATCTCATTGATCATGATGAAGAACATGAAGACGATGATAATAATGGTCCTGATGCCAGTGACGGTATTGAACATTTATTGAGCAGTAAAACATGGTTAATAGTTACTGCGGAGCCAATAATCAGTGCTCATCAAACATTTTATAATCAAAATAATGATTCACGAAAGGCGCTCCATTTGTACAACTAAAACTCATTGCCATCATCAAGAAAAAGAGAAAGTAAATCGGGTGTAAATACGAACAATAAACATATAGATGAATATTATGACACAAATCAAGGAAAAGGTGATACACATTGTCAATGTATATCAATGAGAAACAGTATTTACGTCAAAAACCAAAGGTCAACCTCTGTTTGTCGTCGAGTCCAAACTTTTTTGAATCCGATGTATAAACTCAATATCTTGGCAATACAGATACATAGGGCAACAAATAATTTTCTTACATATAAGGAAGTTTGCAAGAGTCTGCATTTTGTAGAACACATTAAAGTACTTCTGTTCGTAAATTTATGTGACTATAGAACGTGCCTTGATAGAGAGTGAAAATTTTGCTAATCTCATTGAAAAAAATCGATGAATTGTGAAACAGGACTTGGTGAAAATAGAAAGTGAATTTTGAAAGTGACCAAACATGTTTGTCTATTAAATGAAGTCTCACTTCTAGCCGTGTCAAATTCCCTTTCAAACATTGGAAAAAAGTTTAGATCGTTAGAGACGTTTGCTTGTTGTCAAACTTTGCATGCAAAAACGATCTCAAGATCCCCTGATCAGAGAATCTATCTTCGACACAAAAGACAGGATCCTCACCACATTTTCATAGAATGTCAGTCTTATCTAGAATCTGGGGGTACGGCCAAGGCAGAATATCGTAGGGTAGAGGCCCTAAGATCACCTGAAACTACAGGGCACGATAGGGGAAGATACAACACTTTCTCACATGGTAGGATCAGAGCTCTAGAAACAGCTACCATGCACATCGAAAGCGCGACACGTCTCATTTGGAAGAGCATTTAATACTGAATAAGAATGCGTCATTTAAAAAGTTTTAAAATATTGGCACGAGGTTCTGGGGCGGTCCGATATCTGGGGCTTTTATAGTTTCCAAGACGCAATTCATACCTAATTATCTCAGAAATGACAAAAGCGACAAACCTGAACGCTGTAGGATTTATGACAGGAAATAAAATGGAATAAAATGACTCATTCAAAAATCTATCCAAATGCTTCGTTTCTCTACTGCAGTTGTTCTAAGACGGTGAAAATCATGAAAATCCGTCGTACTGAAATGCGTTTTTCACCATCAGATCGAACTCTAAAGACAAAAGCAATATGTGTATCAGATTCCTCGTCGTTCGTTCTATCTAGAAATGTAGCTTTTAATTGTTCATATCGCTCCTGTAAGTCTACTGAGAGCCATTTTTCACAAGCATTACGGCACTTATTTGATTCTTGATGGTCCTCCAAGCTATTTTTAACTACGTTTTTTCCATTTTGTTGACTCCAATGCACATTTTCGGACTATACACATTTTGAAACATATGAATCAACTGAGATCCCAATATCTTATCTACGGTTTCTGCGATATAGGTCTTGAAAATTCCGAGTTTTCAAGCATGCCTAGCAACTACAAAGTACATTAAAAAACCTTGTAAGCATACCATTAGACAGAACGTTCATTTCTCTACAAAATAACATATTTCCTACGTTTTTAATTTGAAGAATGATCAAACTGAAGTCAATACAGAATTATTGCACAACAACTTCAGTAAAATCACCCATCTTTTAGCCGTTAATGCGCTCTTTTCGAGTTTTTCATGCGATTTCATTTGGCAAAGCAATGTAAACATGGAGAATAGTTCATTTTGTAGAGAAATGAAAGTTCAGTCTAATGGTATGTTTAAAAAATTGGACCCTTGCAAAAGAAGAAGAAAGAATTAATTACCCTTGCAGTGAACGCAGAAAAAGAGGGTACATTTCCTAGATTTCCCCTCCATTTGAAGCGCTTCTGGGCTCGAGTTGATCGTACACTAACGAGAAAACTTGCGCGTATGATTTAATAGAGTCAGATTTCCAAAGTTTTGTTTTATGTAGTTTTGTCACAGGTTTTACCTTAAAATTCCGAAAAATGCTTTGCTCCTTATTGGTGAATCGTTATTTCCTCGTAAACTAACGAGGGAACTTCCTGAGCTGCTAAAAACATTTTTCGATGGGACTATTTTTAAAATGTAGGCCCTCATGGGCTATGAAGCACTCTAACTTGGTTCGGGCGCAATCACCTTTGTTGCTGAGATATCGAGTTTTTACTCGAATTTTTCAAAACTAGCTCCACGTTTTACCTTTGGTATCCGTATGGAAAAAGTTCTTTCACCGCAGCGGAAAGAGATTTTCTGCTCGGACTTTTTTCATCAGACTACAATATGTGATAAGTTTCAACATGAAGTTCAAAAGTCCGATTTTGCCTGAAATCCAGGTCCGACGGGGAAATTCGAGTAAAAGCTCGATATCTCAGCAACAAAGCTGATTGCACCCAAACCTAGTTGGAGTTCTTCATAGCCCATGAGGGCCCACATTTTAAAAATAGTCCCGTTAAAACGGCTTTTAGCACCTCAGGAGGTTCCCTTTTTTAAGTACTTGACTTGTAAAGTACTTGAAAAGGAGAAAAAATCTAGGCATATGAAGTCGAAATAGATTTGGCTGGAGATTTTTTGGAGACGAGTTGAAGAAAAATCTTTTTTGCAAGTTATCAGCATAAGGACATGACTAATTCGAAAATATCTCTTCTCAGGTCTTTTCCGTTACCGAGATAGGCGGCATTATCCGTAAAATGACTACCTTTCCTGCCGGCTACTTATAATCATACCTTTATGAATAAAATAACCATAAGTAGCTCGAGTACAGTATAGAGACATGTTGCTAGGTGCGAGCTTACTTTTCATTGGTAGAAATCGTAAAAAAAATCAGAAGTCCGACATGGTTAAAAGTGGAAGAAGTCAAAAAAAAGCGCGCTCTCTCCACCCACGGAAGACGTTTTTATAAAATTACAACTGCCAGAGAATCTAAGTACAAAGCTACAGCTGCCTAAATAATCAATTTCATCAAAACATCTTGCCTTTGAAGCAATAAATAAGAGCCAGTTTTTAGGAAATAATGCCTCTTATCTCGGTAACGGAAAAGACCTGAGAAGAGATATTTTCGAATTAGTCATGTCCTTATGCTAAAGTAACTTGCAAAAAAGACTTTCTTCAACTCGTCTCCAAAAAAACTCCAGCCAAATCTATTTCGACTCCGTATGGAAATGGCAACATCTTCTTTTCAAAAAATCGCTTTCGTGAAAAATGTTGTGTATTTTTAGCGCTTGTAGAAAAATGTCTATAACTGTTTAAGCCTTTGTATCATTTCACTCTTTTGTCAGGAGGAATAGACGTATGTGTGTACACAAATAAGAACTAAATCAGAACTTTGAATGTTTTTTACTATAATTACCGTGTTTCTTATTCAAATTATTTACTATTTAAATCCATGTTTAGTTCAAAAATAGAAAACATCTGTTTGTTCACTTCATCACGTTTAACACTGACACCAGAGCAAATAAAATCCATGTTTATCGAAACTCCAAGATGATGTAACAACTGTACAAAATAGTGTTCGAACGATTTCGAATGATACTAGAAGTGGTTTAAAATTCGGACAAAGTTTTTGATATTATTAGGTGATAAATTATTATCGTTAAATTATTATCGTTTAAAAGCAATGGCCCTGACTAAATTTTGAATAACTCCCCCATAGAAGGAGATATCGATCTCTGGTTTTCGCAGATCGCTAGCCAACACTTTTTTGCATATAGCCATGCAAAAACACTCTCAAAAAATAAATTTAAAGTC